TGTCCACATCCTTTTCTGTGGACTTTATCTCTCATTGAGACGTACAGTGCCTTTAGAAAGTATTCACTTGACTTTTCCACATTTTGTTGTGTTACAGCCTGAATTTAAATTGATTACATTTAGATTTGGTGTCACTGATATAAACACAATTCCCCATAATGTCAAAGTGGAATTATGTTTTAAGATTTATTTTTGTTGTTGTTGCTGAAATGTCAAAAAGTATTCAACCCCTTTGTTATGGCAAGCCCAAATAACTTCAGGTGTAAGAATTTGCTTAACAAGTCACATAAGTTGCATGGACTCACTCTGTGTACAATAATAGTGCACATGCACACATGGGAAAGATTATCAAAGCATTTCTTTTAATTTCCACTGTTTTCCTTCTCTCTCTCTTTCACGGACGATCAATCATAAACTGCTGCTGGCTGCTCCTCACCCTGCACCAGAGAGCGAGAGAGAGAGCGAGAGAGAGAGCGAGAGAGCGAGAGAGCGAGAGAGAGAGAGAGAGAGAGAGAGAGAGAGAGAGAGAGAGAGAGAGAGAGAGAGAGAGAGATAGAACAAGGTCCCCACACTCCCAGTGGGCTAAACGGTGGGGAAAACATAAGTGCAAATTACATTCAGTTTAGCATTTCTTAAAAATTTACTCTGCGACTTAGGAGAGCCCTCCTAGTGAAATAAGAGGGAGGATAGAGAGATAGGGCAGCCAGCAACAGACAGCCAGAGTTGACACAGTCTGAACAGTGGACAGCCAACCCAACAAGACAACACAGAGCAGCTCTACAGTATTAAAAATGTATGCACTCACTAACTGTAAGTCGGTCTGGATAAGAGCGTCTGCTAAATGACTAAAATGTAAAAATGTACAGGCTGTGTGTTTGGCCTGCCTGCCTGTGTCAGCCCAGAGGCCGGGCCAGTAGTCCTACTCTGCTGCTGTATATTTAAGGCTGCTACTGGAGTAGTTAGGCTCCTACTAGAGTGTGCTACTGTACACTTGTGTTATTTGTCAGGACTAATTAGGCCTGTAGTGGCCAGAGAACCAGGCCCTGCTTTCATACTGGAAGGAGAAGCCAGATCTGACAGGGTGTTAAGCCTGCGCCCCAGCCGCCCTGTTCCTCCATCCGCCTCCGACCAAGGGGCATCAGTGTGGCTTGTTCAGGGAAATCACAGTTGACAGGCCCTGGAACTCCATACAATGGGAAAATTAGGCAATCAGTGGAGCGGTGCAGGGAGCCCTAAAAGAGCTCAGGGTCCAGACAGACAACGGGGGGGGGGGGGGGGGGGGGAGATAGGTAGATAGAGAGATAGAGAGTTAGAGAAGAGTAGAGAGAAGAGATGAGGAGAGAGAGAGAGAGAGAGAGAGAGAGGAGATAGAGATAGAGAGAGAGAGAGAGAGAGAGATAGAGAGAGACGCCAGGCCAGGCCAGGCCAGAACAAATAATGTAAAAGAGGTCACACTGAAGAGATGTTTCCCCTCCATTCACAGCTCTCCTTCAAATGGACCCATTTTGGGATGAAGTAGGTGAATGCAGGGAACAGAAAATAACATAAATTGATCAATCTTCTTTCTTAGACTCGTCAACGTAAAACCATGCTGTGAATTTCTCATGATCTGTAATGGGTCACCCGGAGCGCAAACAGAGTTTGCAACAGTGTTTGATATCAAAGCAGATCTCTTAAATAATCTACTTCACTCTCAAAGTGGAGTTGGAGTATACTGTAGCTATGGCTTAAAATGACAAACTACAGTTATATAACACAAATTGTGTGTCCATGTGTGTGTGTATGTTTTTCCAGGGTTTGGCCCTTCTAGTACTTGGAGCAAGGCTTTATATAGAGCTATTCTTCAGAGATTATTTTCCTGTCTAATGTGGACACTAAAACTGGCGCCAGCCTTCTTTGGAAAAAGAATTGCCCTAAACGTACAACATGTGTTTTATATGACTTATAGTAATATTTCCAGTTAGCTTGTCCTTCGTTAAGGAGGGAAAAGAGGGGCGGGTCAAAGAAGGCCACTTTAATTTCAATTAAACACAACCAGCTATGCAAACACTGGACACCAGTGCCCGGGCCGAGCCAGAGAGCATTGGCCTGCCATAGAGCCAGTAAGTCTAGACTCCAGATGTGCGCTGCTGGCCCCTTGCACTCCTCTGGAAATATCGCCAGCACATGTCATCAACTCACTGCTAAATTACAAGGAAAGGATCCCGCAGGATAGGGAGCGCAGCGGCCACAAAAATCCTGGGCCCAGGCCCCCAACACGCTGCCTGTCGACAGTCGGACGCCGGCTACTCCGCAGAGAAGAGAGCAGGGATCTGAATGACAGAGTGAGGTGATGAAGGGAGGGATGGGAGGGAGGGAGGGAGGGATGTAGTGAGGTGGTGGTAGGTTCGTTATGATTTAATTTCGTTAGTTCGTGGCTTTAGGTAGGGGATATTCAAACTAATGCGGGATGGCGATGGAGCGAGAGGGATGCTGCAGTGAGTTAACTGGCCTGGTGTTCCTACATTTCCCATCCCTTTTTTCCCCTCCACATCTCTTCTGGTCTCTTCTGGAGGAATTGCTGTACGCCGTTCCTTCTTTGTTTTACTCAGCATCATGTGTGACACACATTGTGTCTTTGTGTGAGTGAGTGTAAGATAAAGGAAGGGAGATGGAAAGACATAATTGTGGTTAGGCTCTATTATAAACAGTTTTCAAACCTTTAAACACTAATACCGCCACCCTGACTCACACACACTCCGTAGTGAGGTGTAAAACTGTGGTGGGTTTATGTGGCTTCACTGTAGCTGCTAGCTTATGCACGTGTGTGATGGAGACAGTGGATCATGGGAGGGGGTCTCTAGGAGAGAGTGCTCTCCAATATTAAGCGACACACCATAGCACTTCTAGCAGTGATACCATTATAACCTGGGCCTTTGGTCTATCATAACACCAGGATCCATAGCTGTCATTATCAGATCTCTGTGTCAGTTAGGTCCATCTCTTTGCACCTGAGACAAGATTCATTGTTGGTTTTAACATCCTTTGTCTCTTCAGACAGTATTCTGAGGGTGTTTTGTCTGTCTGTCCGTCCGTCTGTCTGTTTGTTTGCTGAGACATTGCTTTGTTTTGGAAATGTCTGCCTCTGAAGAGCCTTTGGGGAA